CCGATCCCGAGCCCGGGGTCCACGGCCCAACCCCGGCCATTGTTCACACCGTTTTAATAGGTATTCATTGTCGGTCCTCGGATCTTTTCCGAAGACTCCCGGGTGAGTGTCGTCGCCCGATGCCCCGATACCTGGGAGTTCTTGTGCATTACCGCTGCCTCACCTGACCACCCCTCTCTCCCTCTTCTCTCCGTGGGGAAGGCGACCCTCGGCTAATTGCGAAAAATCTGAACCCTGACACCTCGAAAACGTATTCGAAAGAAATTTTGCGATTTCGTAGCGCGATATTAAGAAGAAGATATTTTGAATCGTATTGATTCGATAATCTAATGGTAAGTTCGTTTCATCGAACTTTTCATTCGGCCCCTTGTGATTGACGGATATATTTGGAACGGATCGAGGGTTCGTCCCGTTGCGTGACTACTTTTGTGTGTTTTCGGTTTCAGTTTCTACGATGATAGTAGAAATACGTAATAAGAAACGAAATTATATTCCACGAATGCATCGATACTATTTTTGTTTGAACGAGAGAATGCGTATCGAGCGGGTAAAGACGCCGGTTCCCAAGAAACCGAGTGCTATCGTCCATTTCCCACACTTGGATCCCGCTGCAGAGTCTACTAGGAAAGGAAAAAGGAGAATCGTTCCCCTATGTAAATTAATTAGCCTGCCGGTAAACGCGCCGATTTTTCAAACGGGCACGTGGTTGGTGCGTCCTCGGTTAGCTGGCAACAAGAAGGCGAGAAACAAGGACGGAGGAGGAGAAGTAGAAGAAAAATACAAAAGGGAGAGGAGAAATGGACGGAGAAGAAGAAGAAGAAGAAGAAAAGGAAGAGGTGGCGAACGTTGCAGGAGATTCAGATAGCGGATCGTTCGGGGTTGCGCCTCTTTCGCTTTTTTACCGACGCTTACCGTTCTTCCCTCTCTCTCTCTCTTCCTCTCCCCCGTTCCTCGCCATTCTCCGTAGATCCCATAAAAGGTCCAAAGCGACGAGCCTCGGTAATTAACCTCCTCCGCGTCGATCTTATTCCCGTGCTGCGTTTCGCTCGCTTTTTCTCTCCTCCTCTCTCGACGCCCTCCTTGACGGCCCAATCTCGATCCTCCTCGCCTCGATGACAAGTTTTCTAAAAATTCGGAATTACGGATTCTTCGAAAAAGTGAGGAAAGTTTCGTTCTTTGTTTTACCTTTTTGCTGAGGATGGAAAGAGAGAAGTGTTCAAGAAGGCCCTTCTTCCCCGTCACGATCACACAAGTTTTCCAAAGTTCAAGAGTTTGAACTTTCTTTTTAGGAAGAAGAAAGAAGCTCGTTCTTTCGTGCTCGTTCGAAAAATCGATAACGAAGAAGGACGAGAATTATCCGTTCGATTTCGTTGAGGAACGAGCGTTGAAGAACTCGAGGAATTCGAAGGAAAGATTCTGGCCGGTGTATAATAATTTGATCTTGCGTGTGACAGATGGACAAAGAGGAGAGGCGAGAATTGCCGTTCGGAAT